ACCCCAGACATTGTAGGCAATAGGCACAGGACGGCACGGGTGGAGCAGGAGAGCGGTAACAGGGAGAGCTGCCCTGGACGGGCTGCCGTTCCACTGCCCGGCCGTGTTCCCAGCTGCTTTGCCATGCTTTCTGCTGGAGAAGGGGAGGCGGTAAATAGAGGTACACGGTTGAGATCAAGGGCGTGCAACCGCTTCTTTGTTCGTGTCAAATGTCTTCAGAGACCTAAGTTGCTGTTTGAAATGTGATACTTATTTATTCATTTAGGGTTCTGTGAATTCTGTGGGTCTGTGCTGACACATGAGTTTAGATACTTGTAGCAGGGTAGACAAAAGCAAGTGACAGTTGGACTCGTTTAGAATAAAAGAAGCCCTTGCACACCAGCTTTAAGCAGAGCGAGTTCAGAGATATCTGCACAGCTGTATATTACAGTGTGCTTGTAGGTGAAGTTTTCTTGGCAGAAAGACTTCGCAACCAAGGGTGGTCTCAACAGGTATTTTTCAGTTTGGATAGTCAGAATTGAGATCTTTGTTAATGGGTAGTCAGCTGCTCCATTTGCAGAGAGTTTTCATCAGAACAGAGTTCTGGTTTTGCTTAAACTCCTACCCTGTGATGATTTTGCCATAGTTGTGCTCTAAAGCAGAGTTCCAACTCTTCATGTATTTCTCTGTTTTTTGAAGAGGGCAAAGTTAAGCTCCAGAAACTATCAAAACCATTATTGGGTGACTGTTGCTGGAAAGTAATTTCTTTTGTACATTCAGGGTGTGCTGGGCCGCATCAAAAGGAGTGTGACCAGCAGGTCGAGGGAGGGGATTCTCCCCCTCTACTGTTGTCTGGGGAGACCCTCCCTGCAGTCCTGTGTCCAGCTCTGGGGCAACAACACAAGAGGGATGTGGAGCTGTTGGAGCAAGTCCTGAGAAGGCCATGCAGATGCTACAAGGGCTGTAGCAGCTCTGCTCTGGAGACAGGCTGAGAGAGCTGGGCTTGTTCAGCCTGGAGAAGAGAAGGCTTCAGGAGACCTTAAAGCAGCCTACAGTGCTGAAAAGGACTGACAGGAGAGCTGGAGAGGGGCTTTGGACAAGGGCCTGTAGGGACAGGACAAGGAGGAATGGCTTTAACCTGACAGAGGGGAGATTTAGATTAGATGCTAAGTTCTTGACTGTGAGGGTGGTAAGGATTGGCACAGGTTTCCCAGAGGAGCTGTGGCTGCCCCATCCCTGGCAATGTTCAAGGCCAGGCTGGACAGGATTGGAGCAACCTGGTCCAGTGGAAGGTTCCACTAGGTTCCATGGCATGGGGTTGGAACTGGGTAAGCTTTAAGATCCCTTCCAGCACAAACTCTTCTGTGATTACTGGATAAGGGTGCTATCCTTTATTTTGGTTTAAAAATTTTGCTCCTGAATTTTCAGTCTAAATGTCATCTTTATGCTGATTTTGGGTGGATGCCAAACTAAATAGCCATTGAAGTCAGTGTGACCAAAAGAGATGAGGAAAGGGTATGTCTTCGCCCTGGAGAAGTTGGTGGTTGCACTTCAGCCCTGGCTGCCCGTTACAAAGGTGGTGTAGCTAGAGTAACATCTGCAAAGGTCTTAGGGGAACATTGTTGTAGTTGATAAGGAGGTTGTTACCATGTGTTGCCCTCTTTAATGAGGGTTAATGCAGTGACAGAGTGTAAGTTATCCAGAGGTGGCTCACAGCTGGTTGGTTCACACATATGAGCAGGCTGCCAGCATTTGGTGCTGCAGTACAGTACAGCATCTGTCAGACCCTTGCATTTTACAGAGCTCTTCAGCTTGTCTTCTGACACCCCAAAAAGCAAACTACAATGTCTCGGATCTCCCCAAAAAGTGTTGCCATTCAACAGCTGTCAGAAGAATACTGTGACATGGGCACAGTCAGATGGGAAAGCTGCAGCAAAATGTTCAGAGTAGATGCCTTTCCCCTTACTCCTGGGTGCTGTTGTCTGTTTTGGTTTTTTGGTTGGGCTCGGTTTTTTCCCTGCAACATGAAGTAGGTATCCTAACATGAACAAAGCAGTGGGTTTCATGTCAGAGCTGGATTCTTTTTTCCCCAGACAGGATCCACTAAGTTCATGCACTTCACTGCACAAATCACCCTCAAGTAACTTATCAAAAGCCTCACTGATGTAATACACTTAACTGTATGATTTAAATAATGCCATCGTTGGATCTAGAAACTACATAGCTGTTATAAAACAACCACCTTGCTCTTTTTTTTTTTTAAAGTGAATTAAAAGATTATGTGGTCTGTCCAGCAAATGCGTCAGCTGTGCATAAATTATGACAACTGCCAGGCAGAAGAGTCATGGTCTCTCGAAAAGGGAGTTAGAAGTTGACTTTTCCAGAATAAAGCAATATGCTATTTTCTTCTGCATGTTTTGTGTATTAGGTGCTTGAGAATAGGAATCTGCAAGAAGGCATTAAAAAAAGTAAACACTGCTGCAGATTTTGTGCAGTGTAAATAGAAAGCCAAGCTAAGTAATGGTGAAAACTGTGTTTCTGTGAGGATAGGGAAGGGTGCATAGAGAGGCATAGAGATATCATTTCTTTTACTGAATACAAACATTTCTGCTTTGCCTTACTCCCCTGCAGGTCAGTGCTGACTGTTGCTTGTGAACAGACTGAAGTACTGCTTTTTGACCCAATATCTTCGAAGCACATCAAAACTCTCTCTGAAGCTCATGAAGACTGTGTAAATAATATCAGGTAAGTCAGAAGGAATATTTTGTCTTGCCATAGATGTTTTTCTTGTGACAGTGTGGAAAGTTTGTGTTATGTACATTCTTGGAGGGTGCGGGTTTTGTGAAGCTGTTGGGCTGCAGTTTTCTTTGTGCCATTTTCCTTCTCTGGGTATTGGAGGTGGGGAAAGGCTGGAAAGGGGAAGAGGAGGAATCTGAAAGTGATAGTAGTGGTATGTAATGCTGACAGGTACTGCAGTTTATGGGAGGGCAAGAGTGTTAAGCTATTATATTATCACCTGTTTAAACTGGCCTTTGGAATGCCTTGAATGAGTGTGGTAAATCAGAGCATAACAAGTAGCACGTGATTTATGTTTGAGACGCAAGTCCGAGACCGTAGCAAGTTACATATCTGTATGAATGTGGCTGGTATTTTGAATCATAAGAGTAAATGCCATAGTTGCATAGAAATTTCCAAAGAAAGACTGTCTAATTTAAATGCAGGTATGATATGGAAGACCTGGGAAAGTGAACTGGCTTCTGCAGTTCAACTTGAACTCAGTCTCTATGGTTTAAATCCATTGCCTGTTTCTTAGGATGAAATAGGAAATGGCAAGTACAGAAACTGAAATCATCAGTATTTTTGTCATCTAATGTTTTTCCTTTTAAATTCTATTATTTTTAGTTGTTCTGGGTCTGAGGATAGACTTTGAAATGTGAACTTAAGGCACTTTTTGACCTCTCTTCACTCAGGTCCTCAAAGAAAGAGTTAAAAAAAACCCCAAACCAACAAAACAAAGCCAAAAAACTATGCCCAAACCAAAAAGCCCCCAAAAAATCCATAGAAGAAATCTGAGAATTTCTCCTCAACAGAGCTGGATAAAATAAGGGGCGCCAGTGTCTTCACATAAACTGATGGATTTGCCTGCTTTAAACATATATTCCCGCATAAACTGATGTTTTTCACAAGCTGCCTGTCCTCGCTACAAGAGAGTTAAGTTTTACATCAGTTGGATGTCTGTCTTTCAGAAAAGCTAATGTAAAAGCTGGGGCTAGCTGACACAAATAAAAGAGGAGATGTTGAGAACATGCTTTTCTGTAAGGAAATACAGCTTTTTGGGGTTTGTGACAGTGGTTGTCCTTTAAACATGCTTAGTTTTTAGATAAAGCAAAGTGAGAGAGCCATATTATCAAGGCATCAGAAGGCAGAGGTAAAATGGATTTATTTTGGGTTTTATACATCCCTAATTCGGTATCTGATCTTTACATTCAAACTGCTTTTGCTCGGTCTCGAGTTAGTCTAGACTGTGTTTTACAAAGAGCATTCTGTTGCAGGTTTTTTGGCTGGTTAGCTGTCTCTGCTGCAGTCAGCTGTGCTGATCTTGAAACTTTATTTAATTCTTTGGTTGAGAACAGCCATGAAACTTCCTGCCACCATCTTCTATTATTGAAAAGATATTCTTTCTTTCCACTTTGTCTGTCTCTGAGGCTTTGTAAGTCTGTAATTGGTCCTTAAATGTCTTTTCTTTGTGTAGTTCGATTTACATAAAAATACCAGTACTAGCTCCAAGCAGGTAACTGTTAGGTCTACTGTCTAATACCTACCAGACTAAGGTAGTTTCTAGCAATGTAGTAAACTTTATGCTTTCCTTCAAAATGCTTCTTAAAGATTTATTTTGTCTTTGTAGGATATTGGTGTCTTTTTCTGTGTTTTCGTGCATGTCCCCATTTGTTACAAACTTAGATAAAAGGAACTTAACTGTGTATTACAAAATATTGTTAGTACAGCATTACCTGAAGTACTATTTCTGCTTAATGAGCAGGACTTGAGGCACTGCAGTAATACAGAAATTCCTTGTAATAAGCACCAAAAGTAAGTTTCATTACTGCTGTGCCCTGTAGCAGGTGCCTCAGAGCTATGTGTGATCAGAGAAGCACGTAGTGGTTCTTACAGCAGTCTCCTAGTCACTGAGGATTTGTGTATAGTAATCTGAAGCAGATTTTTTTTTTTTCCCACCTGAATTCAGTCAGGTTTTGAGCTTACTTAAAACTCCCACGGCAGAGCTCCATGGCACAGGAGTAGTTAACAGTGTTTTTTAAACTTTCTAGCTAGTTAGAGGTCCTCTAATTTTTTGGTTTCTTAAGTAGGGAGACAAGGAACAATTAATCTCAGTTTACTTCCTTCTGAATCTCATGCACCTTCAATTATCTGTTTTTCAAATGAATCCTGGTCTATTTTGTCAATCTGTATATGAAAGCTGTTCACAATACCATTTGTATCTCCCTGTCTATTCTTTGTGAAGCCTGTTTGTGGTGGGTGAAGCAGGGTTGCCTGTAGCTTCCAAGGTAAAGGCAAATGGATTTATACAGGTGAGAGATGTACTCGTTTTACTTTCGCCCTGAAAATCTGAAATGTTGGTTTCTTCCCATTGTAGTTGGCTGTTTTTCATTGGAGTTGTTGCTATTTTTACATAACATAGCATTTTATCTTTTAGACCTAAAACCACACTGTTTCTAGGGGTAACTTATCACACACGTCTGTGTAGATCATTCATGCCTTAGTAGTCATGTAAAACTACTTTTGGTGGGTTTTGAATAGGTTTTATTTTCCTTTTTTGCATCAGATAAAGTGCCTTTTTTTTTTTTTTTCCCTCTCAAATGCCTTCATCAGGCATGAATTCCAAACGTAAACCAGTATGTTTTGTCCTTCTAAAAGTAAGGGCATGCATAAATTGCGTCGGGAATAGAGTATGATAAACTTTGATCTGAGTAATGCAAAACAAATAATTGTATCCCATGATTTTCTCAGTGAACCAAATAACTTGTCTAAGTAAGCTTAGGCAAAGTCTTGTCTTCAGTTGTTTTTGGGTTTTGTTTGTTTGTTTGTTTGTTTGTTTTTACAAGACCAAAGATTTTCATGATAAAGAATTACCACTTGAACAGGCTAAGTACTTAACCTGATTGGTGTCATAATCCAACTAGTATGACCCATGTTCTTTTCCACTTTATCATCTTCTCCCAGTGTGACTAGACTGACTAGCCTGTCAGAAAGCAGGAATTCAAGACCTGCTAAGTGCAAAACAGAGCATGTGGAGCACGGTGCACATCATATAAATTCGCTGCTGCACAGAAGGGCACTGTAGAACTGCAGGTCTGTAAATACTTTGTGAAATACAGAGCAGTAGGTTTGCTTTTCTTGCAGTATTTTGAGTTAAACAGAATTGTATGTTATATTGTGATCCAAATTCAAACCACTCAAATCTCAAATGCACATCCGTATCAAAGGAGTCCATAAATTTGGGCAGCCTGTGCCACTTGATTCATAGAACTTGTTAAGACCTCGCCAACAGAGTTTAAGTTGACAAGCAGGTATTCTTCATTGCAGCGCTGGGAGACACAGGGAATATCTCCTCCTATGTGTGTCTCGTTTAAGTATCAAACAGACCGTGATTATATTGTTGCTTAACATACATATTCATTACATTTCTGATAAATGTCATGCATATGCATTAGTTGTCCGAGAGTTGTTTTACAAAATTCCATGCCTATTTTCGCATGTGCATAACAACGTGGTAGTGGTCTTTGGTGGTTGTTTTACTTCTTCCAATGATCTTTATCACTTGGCCGTTCCTTGAACTCTTGTTCTGGAAGTCTTTGAAGCATATGCAGTAGATAAATGCTTACACCAGCTTAATTAGTTTGGTAACACCACTGACATAAGCGAGTGATTTCTCCTCGTCCTTCTACTTATCAGTTAACTTTGCTACAGCACCTCCTGAACATCTGCTAGTTTCAGATATCTTTTACCTACAGTCCTGTTTTGGTTACAGTAAATTTTGTCCGAAGGTCATAAGGTTCTAAAACTGTCAGCTACAACGATTTATCTTATACAAGGATCCTTTTATGTTCTTTTGGTTGGGCTCTTTAGGTTTGGAAAGTTTTGTTGTTATGTACAAAGACACCAAGCTTAAAGTTACTTAAAACTGAATTGTCTTGTTTACAAAGGATTATATTTCATTTTGTACTTCCTTGTCTCACACTTGAAGCTGCTACTTCCAAAGATGATCAGAAATTCTCATCCTAAACAGTGCTCTCTGCACTTGCACTTTGATACATGTACCTGCTTTTGTGCATTTGAAAAGCTGAATTTCAGTGTGCCTGCTTCAAATGCATGAACTGTAGTGCAGGGAAAGGAAAGGCAGAAACATGGCCACAAAATCCCCTTGCTTTCTGATGGACATTGTTTATACTGCCCAGGTGGTACAAAATCTTCCTGAATGCAGGAGGTCTGCATGGCTTCTCCTGGCTCTGCAGCTGCAGCGAGCAGTGCTCCCGGGGCATTGTGTTGCTGGACAGGCTTTGGAGTAAGAATGGCAGAGGTGAAATGAAATTGAGGTTCTAGGGAAATGTGCAAACAGTGGCAGTTTTCAAATTTAAATTTACTACATGTTTCCAAGATACCAATACCATGTGTAGTGTAAACCATGCTGTTAGTAATGTGAGCCATACATCAGAGTTAATCTGCTGGATTAAATCTCTTGGAAAAGCACTGTTGTACGCCCTATGCAAAACCATGGGGCCAGCTTCTCAGCATGCTTAGTGCACACGTGTGTCTCAAGTGTCCATGTCTCAAGTGTCCAGCTGTGGTTGTGTCACAGAGTGGCAAGAGGTCTGGTTGGAAAGGACCTCTGGAAAACTTGTAACAGCCTTCTGGTAAGAGAGGGCTTTGGTTTGCCTCACTGGCACGTGGATAAGCCTGACACTGAATGTTTCCAGCACAAGTGGTTCCACTGCTGTGTGGGCTGGTCTGGCTAGGGAGGGTGTTTATAAAAGTAGGTCCTATTACAGGCTTTGCAACAAGTGCTGTGTTCTGCCTGTGCCAGTGGTGCAAAGATCTGGTGAGAGCCTTCAGCAGGGGCTGACTGCATTGGATGCCAAGCAGTGATGGTGGTACAGAGCAGCATCAGGCCTTGCAGAGGGGGAGTACTCAGGTATTAGTTAAAGGAGGCTTGGACATCATATGTTTTGGCTAAGCTAATGGGATGTGTGCTGCGCAGGGCAGCAAGGCTTAAAAGCACTGGAGGCATTCCAGTAGCAAGGCAAGGTGATCTGTATTTTAAAAACCTTCTATGAGTGCAGACAGCTTATGCCTTGGGTGGGGAAGAGAGGAAGATTTGCAGAATAAAGGAAAAATGAGGGTGAATATGTGGGTAGAAATGAAAACAGTGAAGAGCATGGGTTTAATTACGATCCGATAGGTCCTTGTGTAGTCAAAAATTAAGATAGAATTGCTGTGTCTTCTGGTGCTGCCTGGCTGTAGTAGCAAATGGATCTGGCAAAAATGGGGAGGAGGCATAAACCACATTCAATCCAGGCTAGCAGACCTCTATTGCAGAGACTGCCAGACCAGTTAACAGGAATATCTTGCCAGTGGTCTAAAAGCTGAGCAGTCATAGGACATGTGTGTCTTACGAAAACTTGGTAAGTTTAAAGTTGAGTATTGTCCAGATAGTAACTTATTTGTGAGCATTTGTTCCACTGGTGGCTGGGTAGTTGTGTGATCTTCACATGATTCGTTTTGTTTTGTTTTGTTTTGTTTTTTTTTTAAATCTGCTATGCTTCTACAGGTTTACTAGTTTACTACTACCAGTTTGTATCCCAACAGTACTGTTTTGTAATGGAACTGTTTTATTGGCAAACATTCTGCTGTATCTACTGTCTGTTTTGGTGTTTTGTGGTGTTTTTGGTTTTTTGTTTGTTTGTTTGTTTTGTTGGCTTGGGTTTTTTGTTTATGGTCCGGTTTCACCCC